GTGATTATAAAATAGTTAATTCAGTCTGAAATTTTGTTAAAAATTTCGACCAAAAAACTGTGGTATGTCTCGAGGACTTTATCAACCTGATTCGGTTGTCAACTTTTAGTGAAGTCACTCCCCCTTCACTTTCCTATAAAAATAAAGTCGATCCAAAAGAGTCATGAATGCCCAACTACTCTTCGTATAAGAGACAGGATAAGCTAGTCGGCAGAATGTATAATGGCAAAACTCCACAAGAATGTGATCACGACAAGAATTCCAAACTTCCGCTCAGCTCTAAACTCACCTCAACCGAGTCATCGAGCGCCAACAAGATGGCCGAATGAAGAGGAAGCGATCGTTGCTGTTGTCTCATCGGCTCATCACCCACAGTCACCATTGGTCCTCCGGGTCCTCCGGGTCTCTTGAGTCCTTCACCGTTGGCCGCTTTCTCCGTCACAGTCTGCGTCCAAGCGCCATTTTCTTCGGTCGTCCAGCTGCCCTGCTCCATAGTCTGGCAGCCGAGGCAACTCTTACAACCTGCACACGTGAAGTGCATGTTTCTCGACCCAACCGTCTCCAAGGCGTCTGCAATCCGCTCATCCTGACCGAAGCTGGTCAGTTGTTTGGGCTTTTTGGACGCCGACTCACCAATCAGAACACGCGGCACTTGGGAACCGGGCAATCCCATCCGGCGCCAACAGGACCAGGCGCCCGGTCTGGGCGTGTCAAGGGGACTGGGAATCGGCGTCTCTGAAGGCCAGTGCTGATGGTACAGATGCTTTGTGTCCGACGGTACCGATGAAAGCACACCCGGTTGCAGCCATTGCACAGAAGCTTTGGTCTGCTCGGAGACTGGGGGACTGGACAAGGACAAGGACAAAGAGGCCAACGAGGAGGGTGAAACTGAGTAGGTGGTGGAGACCGAGGCGGGAGAAGGAGAGCGTGAACGGTAGTGGACGTCTGAGAGAAGTTGGGAGCCTGAGGCCAGCGATCCAGACGGGGATCGTGACGACAGAGTGGATGCCGACGGTGATGATGGATAGAGAGCGGTGAGCGCTTGACGACCGCGTCGACAACGTTCAACTGGCCCGGCAACCGCGGTCACAGCTCCTGTCGAGGCCGAGGTGACAAGAGACTCGGCCAGACTGGCTGGCTGTTGACTGGTTGCGGATGCATCAGTAGCCGTGACGACGGCACACAAATGGGCGTCCATGCTGAAGGAGTTCGGCAGGCCCAGGCTGGGATGGCATAGTCGAGCAGCATTTGTACGCTCGCTTGTTGGGCCGGAACGGGCTGGAAAAGTTCTATCATGAAGTGAGCATCTCGAAAAGTCAAGATCGTCTAAAAGAGTCGAAGAAGCGTAGATGCGAAAATGACAAAATGGTATTGATAATAAGGCATATAATAATAGGTGAGCATTAACACACCCGTTCAACAGCAGAACAATAATAGCAATTGCATACCAGATATTGGTAAAATCTGTAGCCAATAACGCGAATATTGTGGGAAAATAGCGAGAAATACCAGAATGCTATGGAGCAGTGAATAAATAATGAAGACGAGGTATTGTGATGAAGAACTGACACAAAAATGAAATGCATAAGCCTCAAATTTCCCATAAATTCCAAAATCTAATTTTACCCCGACTGCACTAAACTGAAGATTCTATCTCACCTGATCTGATCTCATCAACACCCTCAGGGACTTGAATCAGGGTTATGTTAGATACGAAGAGAAACTTGGTTTCGATGAATCTCCCGAGATAACATTGTTAGGGGGAACTTCATTTCGA